CCTCTCACACACACACACTTACCCACTCCTCTCACACACACACACTTACACACTCCTCTCACACACACACACTCACTCACTCCTCTCACACACACACACACTCCTCACACACACACTCCTCACACACACATACACAATCACTCACACACACACATACACACACAATCACTCACACACACATTCACTCACACGCACATTCACACACACAATCACTCACACACACATTCACACACACACTTACACACTCCTCTCACTCACACACACACTCCTCTCACACTTACACACCCCTCTCACTCACTCACACACACACACTCAATCACTCACACACACATTCACACACACTTACACACTCCTCTCACTCACACACACACTCCTCTCACACTTACACACCCCTCTCACTCACTCACACACACACACTCAATCACTCACACACACATTCACACACACTTACACACTCCTCTCACTCACACACACACTCCTCTCACACTTACACACCCCTCTCACTCACTCACACACACACACTCAATCACTCACACACACATTCACACACACTTACACACTCCTCTCACTCACACACACACTCCTCTCACACTTACACACCCCTCTCACTCACTCACACACACACACTCAATCACTCACACACACATTCACACACACTTACACACTCCTCTCACTCACACACACACTCCTCTCACACTTACACACCCCTCTCACTCACTCACACACACACACTCAATCACTCACACACACATTCACACACACTTACACACTCCTCTCACTCACACACACACTCCTCTCACACTTACACACCCCTCTCACTCACTCACACACACACACTCAATCACTCACACACACATTCACACACACTTACACACTCCTCTCACTCACACACACACTCCTCTCACACTTACACACCCCTCTCACTCACTCACACACACACACTCAATCACTCACACACACATTCACACACACTTACACACTCCTCTCACTCACACACACACTCCTCTCACACTTACACACCCCTCTCACTCACTCACACACACACACTCAATCACTCACACACACATTCACACACATTCACACACACACACACACACACTCCCCTCACACGCACACACTCCTCACACGCACACAATCACTCACACTCACTCACACTCACTCACTCACACACACTCACACAGGGTTTTCTCTCTCTGTCACTTGTATGTCCATTATTTGCCAGTCAGAATGAGAGAAATGCTCTTATTAACACACACACACACACACACACACACACACACACACACACACACACAC